GTCCGTCTGTCTCCACCCGTCTGTCTGTCTCCACCCGTTTGTTTCCTCCTGTCTGTCTGTCTCCACCTGTCCGTCTGTCTCCACCCGTCTGTCTGTCTCCACCCGTCTGTCTGTCTCCACCCCTCTGTCTGTCTCCACCCGTCTGTCTGTCTCCACCTGTCTGTCTGTCTCCACCCGTCTGTCTGTCTCCACCCCTCTGTCTGTCTCCACCCCTCTGTCTGTCTCCACCCCTCTGTTTCTGACCTGGTGTTCGTCTCCTCGTGGTTTCTCGAAGTAGGCGTGTCTCCTGCTCTTGCTGTCGTCCTCCTTCTCTCTGTCTCTGTCTCTCTCTCTCTCTCTGTCTCGGTGTCTGTCTTTGTCTTTGGGAGGTTTGGAGGACGATGTCGTGGACGGGATGTAGTCCCCGATGTCGTCAAAGATACTAAGACAGAGACAGACAATGGAGACACTGAGTTTACATGCTGTTATCAAGCTGTTGTCAGGCTGTTTACAGACTGTTGAGTTGTGTTGAACTGACCTCAGATCTGCCTCAGGAGCTCTCTTATCATCCAGTTTCCCTGAAACACAAACACAGATGGTTTTTAATAGAACAACACTGTGTGTGTGTGTGTGTGTGTGTGTGTGTGTGTCACCTTTGTCCTTCTTCTTGATCTTCTTGTGTCGTGTCCCCTGTCTGAGGTACGACAGGATCTGAGTCAGTTTAGAGATCACGATGTCGTTGGTGGTCAGAGTCGTCTGAGCCTGAGAGACAAGACAGAGAGCGTTCACTAACAGCAGGTGTGTGTGTGAATGTTCACTAACAGCAGGTGAGCACGCGTGTTTAGGTGTGGGTGTGTGTGTGTGTGTGTGTGTGTGTGTGTGTGTGTGTGTGTACCTCCATGCTGGGGCAGTCGGCTTTGCTGCGGATCAGAGTCGTCGGGATGTCGGTGTCAGTGAACTCATCATCCAGGTCGACCACGTATGCCATCCTGCCCGGCAGGAAGAGCTCGTTCCTCTCCACCTGACCGGACCTGAACACCACACGGTAGATGTTCCGACCTGAAGGGGGAGGAGGGGAGGGGGAGGAAAGGGACGTGTCAGAGAGAATCACTGGTAACTAGTCAGTAACTAGCCAGTTACTAACAGACTCACCAAGACGAGTCTTGAACTCGATCTTCTCCTCCGGCTCCACGTCTTTCCTGACAGACAGAGGTCAAAGGTCAGACAGGTTAGTTCACTGCTGGGAGGCAAAGGTTCCTTCAGTGGATATGAGTTCAGTCGGGTTCTTACTTTGCCTCTTTCTGCACTTTCTCCATCATGTCTTCTTCTTCTTTCTCCTTACTGGTGATCTCAGCTCTCACCTGTAACACAGGTACAGGTTAACACGCTGCAGTCCGGTCTGTACGATGCTGCAGAGTGGGCGTTCACTAACAGTAGCGCTGCGGAAGAGTCAGTGATAAACAGAACAGTCTCACTATAAGAACAGACACGAGTTTATTTACTGACCTTCTGCAGCAGAGCGAAGTCCAGACCTTTCACCAAGTGAGTGTGCTCCATGTCTCCTCCCAGAAACTTGGACTCCTGGATCAGCTGACGACGTTTCTCTGCTGCCGACTTATCTCTGGAGACAAGACAGCAGCACATCCAGGAGCACTGTTAGACTGTTAGCATTAGCATTAGCAGTACTCACGCCTCAGCAGCGAGTCCTACAGCTCTGTAGTTAACTGTACTGTTAGCAGTGTTAGCATTAGCAGTACTCACGCCTCAGCAGCGGGTCCTACAGCTCTGTAGTCAGCTGTACTGTTAGCAGTGTTAGCATTAGCAGTACTCACGCCTCAGCAGCGGGTCCTACAGCTCTGTAGTCAGCTGTACTGTTAGCAGTGTTAGCATTAGCAGTACTCACGCCTCAGCAGCGGGTCCTACAGCTCTGTAGTCAGCTGTACTGTTAACAGTGTTAGCATTAGCAGTACTCACGCCTCAGCGGCGGGTCCTACAGCTCTGTAGTCAGCTGTACTGTTAGCAGTGTTAGCATTAGCAGTACTCACGCCTCAGCGGCGGGGCCTCCAGCTCTGTAGTCAGCTGTACTGTTAGCAGGGTTAGCATTAGCAGTACTCACGCCTCAGCGGTGGGTCCTACAGCTCTGTAGTTAGCCGTGGTGCTGATCAGCTCCGTCTCTTCGTAATCTTTGTTGACTCCGTCTCGTCTCTCTCTCGCTCGGTCTCTGTACTTCTCGGCGAGCTCTCTCTCTCGCTCCATCTCCTGCTGCCGTAGCTTAGCATAGTAACTGCAACAAAGCAATATAGAGTAATTAATTATCAATGATATGATCAGATGAGCTGAGGTGGAGGATGCTGTAAAGGTCAGGTAAACAATCGTCGGTCAAACAGCTCCTCAGGTTGCGCTGCAGATTACTCTGAAGTTCTGCCTGTGTTAGCATGTTAGCTGCTAACCATGCTAGCAGTGATTTAATGTGCACTTTACATCCAGGTTACAGACACACTCACCTCTTCTTCTTCCTCCTCCTCGCAGCAGGATCCTCATCCTCATTGTAGTCCCTTGGCATTCTGGGAAACAGATAACAAATAACCCAACAAATCATCTTCATCACCACCATCATCATCATCATCAGTGTAACATCAGACATGAAGCGTCAGCAGTGTTTCCCTCCTTCATCACTCACTCATGGTGTCTGGACTTGGAGGGCGGGGCTGAGGAGGGCGCCGCCCGCGGTGTCATCAGTAACTTCCTGAAGTCATCATTGGTCAGTTTAGACCTGAAGAGACACGCCCAGGTATGTTAGCACGCAGACAGACAGGTGAGGACAGACAGTTGAAGACAGACAGACACACAAACAGAAAGGTGAACACACAGACAGACAGACAGGTGAACTCACTGAGCTGCAGCTCTGTGGTCGTCGACCTCGTGGCCGTCAGGAGCCAGGGGGTTGGAGTAACTCTCAGCTGGAGACAGGAAAGAGGAAGTTAGTGAGTGATGTGTGATGACATGTCACTGCGTTCCATTTTAAAAGGGGAGGGGTCAAACATCTAATTTGGTAATGATAATAATAATATATGATAAAACTATTAAAGAGTATCTTTAGGTCACCAGGTGAATCAGGTCACAGTTGAGAGCAGCACTGAAATCAACCAGTTAATTTCAGGTAGGCTCTTTGCAGCCTGTGATTACACCTGATAATAAACACTCAGTGATCAGTTTATTAGGAACATTAAACTGATGTAGTCTGATACAGTCCTCCATGAAGGTTTTAATCTTCATTTGTATTAAAATAGTATCAGACAGATGTTGATGATCATTGTGGAGGACTGGTGTGTGGAGCTGTGTTACATTATACAGCTGTCTGTTATTTACCTACTTTCACGGATAGAAATGGGCTGGACAAAATAACAGAAACACCTGGACGCCACGGTAAGTGTCCTTATACAGCAGCAGTTCTGTGTTGGCATATCAGTTCTAATATCAGTTTATCGCTAATCAAGGATAGCGATAATCTGATAAACCGTATTGATCGATGCCTTATAGAACGGAGAAAGTTTCCTGCTTTAGTCATAAACTGCTCAATAACCTTCATGAAGCTCATCTGCTGCTCTGGGTTCCTCAGTGACTGTTCAGCTGTTTGAACTCATTGTGCAGGACTCGGTTATAAACAGAGTGCTAAACACAAACAGTTGTTGACTGTGACTCTGGGTTTAAACCGAATTAAAGAGCGAGTTCTCTGCGGAGTTTCATCTCTGTCCATCAGGTCACATTAGTCTGAATGACGCAGCTTTAAACCGGCAGAAAGTGAACGGAGTCTGGTGTGGTGTTTCCGAAGAGCTAAGCTAAGCTAACTGGAACTCGTCGCTGTGTAGAGCGATGTGACGGTTTGGTTTTAACACCACCGACTCTTCTGTGTTAATAATCCTGTTTAACTAAAGTTTGATCTGTTCTGTTATTTTATAATCGGGACTAAACTGAAGTGCTACTCTGTTGACTTCAGCTAACAGCTAAAAGCTAGGCTCGCTGTTACTGCAGGCTAACGGTTCGTGGCAACTCCTGTTATTGAGCTGGTCGACCTCCAGCTAACATGTTTCAGGACTAGCTTACTTTCAGGCATCTCAGCGGAGCGTCGCTTCTCCCTTTCCCGGTGAAAACGAGTCTGTACCGCCACAAACAAACAAACCGACGGTCTGTTAGCTTCAGCGAGCAGCGGCTCTGTCGTCACTTCCTCTTCAGGTAGAACTGACAGACAGCGCCGCCCGCAGGAGCCCGCGTTCACCGCACTGTAGACCTCACGGTGCAGATGTGTGAGCGCCGCCCCCTGCAGGTCAACACAGGCACTGCGTCCAGGACCTCAGGGACCAGCCGGTGGTTCTGCTGCTTCAGGATTAGATCCAGTCACATTAAACTAAGGATCGATCGATAGATATATACTTATATAGATATTATATATATTATTATATATAAAGCCCCGCAGACAAACTGAAGCTCCATCCTCTGTGGACAGCAGCAGCTAAAGGCTCCAACATGCGAGTGTCTGTGCAGTAAAACATCAGAGAGAAGGCTTATTAGGTTAGATTTAATATAAGGGTAGACACAGAAACAGTCAGTTCATTTAGTTTTTACCTGCAGCTGCTTCAGAATCATCCACACACCATGAAAACTTCTTCAATCCCATAAAAAAAGCTGTGAAAGCTTCTTAAAACTTCCTAATAACCCAATAAAACCTCCTTAAATCCTTGAAAGATGCTTATAATCTAATTTAATCCAGTGTCATTCCCAGTAAGAAACATTATGAAACCATGTGATCGCTCATTACAACCATAACATTCCTTAATCTCCACAGTAAAACTCAGTGGATTGCCCTTAAAACCCTAAGAAACCCCTTAAATTCTATGAAAACCTCCTTAAATACCAATAAACTCGTGAGATCACCAGTCAAACCTTGTGAACTCTGATTAAAACATAACAGTCTGATAAATTTTCATGTTTTAAAAAAAAGTGAATGAATGAAGGAAACAGAGTGACATTAATAATATTCATGTTTATTCACATCAACACATTTACAGACAAACTAAAGGAAACAGGTGAGTCCATCCAGGACTGAACCACTTCCTGCAGGGGCGGCGGGGGTGGAGTTAAGGTTTGGACTGAACCAGTGTCTGCAGAGCTTTGGCCACCTGATCAGCTGACATGTTGTCCACTGATACGCTGCTCTCTTTACCGAAATCTGAAGACAAGACAGAAACATCTTCATCATCATCTTCATCATCTTCATCAGACTGACCCCCATGATGCTGTGTGGTCAGACTCACCGTATCTGGCCCAGACTCGGGCCTGGACTCCAGAACACTCTCTGATCAGGATTGGGAAGTCTGGGTTGGACTTCTTCAGAGTGACGTAGTGCTGCTCCACAAAGTCTCTGAAGACACAGAGACATAGTCAGAGCTGAGGTCAGCTGTGACCTCTGACCTCTGAGGTCATCAGAGATCAGAGGGGAATGATGACATCAGGTTTTATGTTTTTAAACAAACAACTGCATGTGGACTTGAACTTTGTGATTCCAATACATCCAGTTGAACCTAAGTGCTCACCTGTCCCCTACCTGTCCTCACCTGTGAGGTCATAATTCCTGGTGTGCATTAACAGTGTGGTTCCAGCACTGGAGGGGTTAATGGTGCGTTCAGGCTCTTCCTGTTATTCTGATGTTATGCTCTCACGTTTAACATGATTTACGTCAGCTTCAGTTCATAACTAACGATCGAACAATTGATTATTAGTTTCATCTGTTAAACCACAGGAAACAGTTTATAATAAAATATAATGAGTAACAGAGACCAGCAGTCCAAAAACCAGACCTGGACCTGGTCTGATTGATTAGGAGGCCCAAGATCTTGGATCAGGTCTCAGCTGATCGATTAATCTGTGACTAATATTATAATTATTATCAATAGATCAGTGGTTATGTCAGTGAAGTGTGCAGGTCACGTGGTGAAGATTCATTAACTTCGTTTCATTTGATCAACAGTAAAAACAAAGATTCAGTTTGTAACATGTCACACTTCAGTGTTTCTGTTGATCAATAATTAATCTATTAGAAAATAACTTTTACATTTCCTGTCGATCGATTAATCGACTGATGGTTGCAGCTCTGACGCAGATGAAAACTGGAGAATCTGTCGTTTTATATTTAAACATCACTTCACTGAGTCCGATGCTAAGCTAGCTAGCCGTTAGCTGCTCTCAGGTCATTCTGCAGTTAGCTGTTAGCAGTTAGCTGTTAGCAGTGTATGTCTATGATGCTCGGCTCTCTAACAGTGTCTCGGTGGCTGTTACCACAGCGGCTCTCTCTGCCTCTGCAGGCCGGCTCGGAGCTTACCTGGCCCCCTTGCTGGCCGCGGAGGTCTGGCAGAGGTGGACGCGGATCTCTCGGAGGTTTTTAGCCAAAGTGGAGCCCAGACTCCGGACTGCGGCGGCCGCCATCTTAGCTCTCTGCTACTCGTCAAGGACGAGCAGTGGGTTATTACAGCCCGGAGTTTATCCTGCCAGGCACGAGTCAAGCACTGTTTTTCTCCCTGAGTCTCTCCTCACAGGCACCGAGCCCCCCCCCCACCCCCCTCCGAACTTTCTAATTAATTTACTAGCTGTGAAATATGATACGCATTGTTATAGAAATTAAAATATGAAAATATATTTCGTGAATTTCCCTCAATAATAATAGTCAAACAATATATCTAATCTAAATATATCTATATGATAAATATGTCTATGGTCTAACATATGTTCTGTACTTTAAATACTCTAAATACATTTTTCAGATAATATTTCTGTACTTTTATTTTTTAGGATTTCAGGATTTTTACTTCTGGACAATTCTGAATTTTAGAAACACACCAGTTAATTAATCAGGACAGTGAGGCCCTGATTAACTGATTATTAAAACAATACAATATCTTTACAGTAATAATAATATTCTTTATGGGATCATTATGGAGAAAAGGGTTCTATGAAAATACATTTCTTTAAACCAAAGTCTTAAAACAGAATGGACAATCCTCAGCTCAAAAACAAAAACAAACTAAACTAAACTAAATAAACACTGGTTTTATTTTATTCATTTGTGTTTTTTTGGCTTACATTTCTATTCTTATTGCTTAAAAGAATTATTTTTTCTTTTATTACTTATCATTATCATTATTGTTATTATTAATGTTGTTTTTAATTGTCAGCTCAGTTCACTTTAGTTCCAGTTGTATTGCTGTTCTAACTGACTGAGCTGAGACGTTTGTGCTCGTTATTTGTCTGGATTAAAAATGACAGATAAATGAAGACAGAACATGAAGTTGAATGATTGTTACTGACGTGATTAACAGACCAGTTTCACCTGGTGAAGCTGCGTCTGACTCTCTCCTTTTTCTGATGGAGGGAAACAAACATGTCTGATCCCACACAACACAGCAGGACTCTGATCTGAGTCTATGTCAGACCAGCAGCTGATCCCGACAGAAACACAGACCACAGGTAAAAACTCAGCAGCTCATTATTTAATCAGAGATCGTTAGAGGTCTGATCGTCACCTGTGGAGATTCAGTCTCACTGTATGTCCTGATGTGGACAGCTGAGGCAGTGCTGGAGGAAGAACCCAGGTCTTTTACTAAAATGAAAATGTTCTTTAACACAAGTAAGAGTGGTGCGTTCACAGTCTCTAGGTTCTGATGAGGTTCACGCGTGAAACACGAGTGGATTCTCCACAGACCTGAACATGACCAGGAAATCTGTGATCTGAACAGATGGTTTTGTAGAGAACAGAAAGAACTTGAGGCTGTGACTGAACAAAACCAGATGAGGTGTAACAGTCTCTGTGTTTAACAGTGAACAGATGTTCATGATGACATCAGCAGCTGGATAACACTTTGCTTTATTTAGAAACAGGATTATTTGGTACAAACATCATGACTGTGAAAACCAGTGAAACCCAAACAGACCAGGAGTTTGAAGCAAAAGTTTCCTCATTCTGAGTTCAGACCTCAGACCTTCAGCTTTAAGACTTCAGCTTTCAGACTTCAGACTTAAGACCTCAGCTTTTAGCTTTCAGTCTTCAGACCTCAGACCTTCAGCTTTCAGTCTTCAGACCTCAGACCTTCAGCTTTCAGACTTCAGCCTACAGACTTTGACTTTAGGACAGTGAGCTTTAATGAGAGGTAATAACTGTAAACTGTAGGAAACATGAAGGTAAGCATTGAGTCAACTGTTTGTCGTGTCCTCGGCTCTGCAGTCTGTTTCTGTTAGCGTTAGCAGAAAATGAGCAAGCTGCACATGCGACATCATAAGTGAACAATAAACTGAACTGAACAGGAGGACTTTAGTGTTTTGATAATCCAGGTTGTCTCCGGTCAGTCCGGCCCTCTCTGCTCCTGCTCGTCCTCTTCAGAAGGTCCTGACGTCTTTTCTCATTCAGAAGCTCCTGGATACGTTTGTTTTGTGTCCGCTCGCGGAACGGTGGCATCCGCGGCACAAAGTAGTTCTGCTGTCCTCTGGTGATGTCCCCGTCCAGTCCCACGATCCGGTACGGGACCTCGTCTACCGAGTTGTTCTCCTTCTTCAAGAGTGGGAAGAAGGAGGACAAAGATGTCGGCATTGGTTCGGTTTCTGTCAGATTAATTTCAGTTTGAAGACTCCGCCCTCCTGATGATGTGGACGTGATGATGTCATCTGTATCAGCTGCTGTTGTGAGGGGGAACGACGGCGACAGAGTTGGACCATCAATAGTTACCATAGGAAAGTTAGCAGGGGGCATTGTGGGAGTGGTAGTTTTCTTCTTGAATAGATGTGGTGGAGCAGTTTTTCTTGGACGCCTTGTAGTAGTAGTAGGAGTAGTAGTAGTAGTAGTAGTGGTAGTTGTGGTAGTAATAGGAGTGGTAGTAGTAGTAGTAGTGGTGGTAGTAGTAGGAGTACTTGGAATGATATCTGTGGTCTCTGAGTTAACTGACGGATCCTCGTATGACGAGTACTCAACGTAATCGTCATAATCCACATAGATGAAGTCGGTGCTGCTCCTGCTGCTGGGGGGCGGGGTTACACTGAAGCTGGGATGTGAAGTGCTGATGAGGTCAGTTATGATGTCACTGTTGATGTGGCTGCTGTCAGACCAGGTGGATGGGGATGCTGACGTCATTGTGTCCATGGTCACAATCCCTGAGCTAGGAGACAACAAGACAAAGACTTTATCTTAAACCAATTTGAAAACAATAAAACTTAGTTTTTATCTTGATCAGTTGAAAAGTTTTCAGCAGAATATTTTTCTCTCTTCTTCTGGAAACCTTCAGATTATCAGTGTTTAAACAAGATTTTTTTTTATCACTCAGATGTATCTGTTTCATCCATTTGATTAGTTTGGATATTTTTAATGACCCACGTTGGGTTTGTTGTTTATGTGTTTACTCCTTTCTGTTCCTGACCTGCTGCTGGCGGTCGGCAGACTCGTGCTACTGAAGTTGCTGAAGTTCTCAGAGTTGTTGAAGTTTCCCTCGCTGCAGGATTTGCAGCACATCTGCCGGTATCCGGCGATGGCGCAGTACCGACTTAACACCTCCATCCGACAGAACACCGACCGGTCACCACGGCAACGCTGCCCTTAGGACAGAGCAGGAGCAGCTGTCAGAGTCAGACTCCAGCAGAAGTGAAACAGAGTTAAAGTAGAGATAAAAAATAATTTTTATCAATCTGAAAACCATGTCAGAGTTCAACGACCTGAGGAACAGCCAAGTCTGAAGAGAGGAAAAGGAAGGAGGAGAATGAGAAGGAGGAGGCAGCAGGAGGACGAAGAGTCTGTTTTACTGGAGGAGGTCTTTGCAGCTGGGAAGTCTGGGTTGGACCTGGACAGCCACTGGATGATGGCGTTCTTCTGGTCGCCTGCAGGGGGAGACAAACACACACTCAGCACTGTGGGCTCCCAGCATCCCTCCCTCCACTCCTCAGTAGACAAATGTATAGAATGTGATTGGCCAATGCCTACCGCTACAGGGCGGAGCCTGGCAGGTGCGCGTTCTGATTGGTCGCGGTTCGCTGCAGTTTCCAGCTGAACCCTCGGGACTCGAACACGCAACCTGACGCTCCTGAGTCCCATTTCCACAAGATAATGAACACTACAAACACAAAGACAATGATCAGATTCAGATTCTAACTGATCAGTTATTGATCTGGTGTTTTATTAACAAAACACCCTAAAAGAAGCTCCTAACTCTCCGACTCGTGGTCGTTCAGAAAGAAGAAGTTAGTTAGAGAAGGTAGAGTTTTTCTAGAGAGAAAGAGGGCAGAGGTGGTCCATCCCATGAGGAGGACCCCTGGTGGTAAAATAAGGAACCTCTCTTATGTTCTGCCCCTGTTCTAAGTCCTGTACCGGCGTCCAGGGCCCAGCTCGCCACACGGCAGGGCAGGGGAAGCGATTGCAGGTGCGTTTCCCGTCCGGACGCTCGTCCTGACAGAGCTTGCTGTGCACCGAGCGCTGCTGTTTCCCCGGGCTGGACTCCTGTTGGCAGCTCACCCAGCGACGCTGCCACCCGGTCTGACCACAGGAGGCGCTGCAGTCCTCCCAGTCTCCAGTCACCCAGCTGAGGGGGAGTAAAGGAGGAGTGAAGAATAAACCTTGTTTTCTGATTGGATGAGACGTGCTCCAGCATTTTACTTTACTATTAATGGTGTTTACATGTTAATACATCAACATGTTTTCACATATTGACCTGTAGTACGTTACTGTGGTGACCTGTAATGCGTTACCGTGGTGACCTACCATGGTGACCTGTAGTGCGTTACCGTGGTGACCTGTAGTACGTTACCGTAGAGAGCTGCAGGCTTCCGTGTTGCAGCTGCGGCTGATGGCTCTTGGTTTGTTGATGTTGGAGCAGAACATCCTGTGAACCATTTTCCCATCAGCCTTTCTCCTGCAGCCAAACCTTGTGTACTGTTTCCCTGGCGACCAGAGATCACTGTTAACAACACGTGTTACCCTGGTAACCAAAAGCATAGGCTGTCACCCAGCAGCAGAGTCGTGTACCTCCACCACAGGGTTTGGAGCAGTGCGACCACTTCTTCAGCGCCCACTCGTAGAAAATGGCGTCCTCCTGCACCAGGTTCGACTCCAGTGAGGACTGGAGGCGGTCCTGGATAATGTACTTATAGGAAACCGTCACCTTGGAGTCACCATGGGAACGGACCTGATGCACAGAAGCACAGTGGCGGTTGTTGTGGTTTAGTTTCTGATCAGATGAACAGGTTGGACTGTGACCCATGTTGATGGACTGACCATGACCAGGACTCCATACTTCAGCGGTCCCGTGGTCACGATGGATTCCTGCTCCTCCGTGTGGTTGTACTCCCATGCGACACCCTTCTCGATCACCACACGGGATTCTGGGAGCTCGTCTTCATCGTTGAGGAAGAGGTGACCTGTCTCCTGGTTCTTTACCGCTGCAGCAGAAAACAAGAAAACTAGGTTTGTAGAAACAAGAAGCGACAGGAGATCATGTCGTCCTCCCTCCTCCTACCCAGGATGTGAGGAGTCCCTTTGAACTCCTGGATCAGCAGGTGTCGCGCTCCTTTAGGGATCTCTAGGATCTTCAGGTAACCTAGGTCAGAGAACCAATAATCAATCACCAATCAATCATCAACTGATAATAAAACTGAGGAACCCTAAAGTTCTCCAAAGGTTCTCTTGGACCAGTTCTTGCTCAGACCTTCTTTCTTGGTGCTGCGGGTGAAGTTTCCTTTGATGATCTTGCAGCTGGAGTTATCTCCTCCACAGACTCCACATCGATCCTCCTGCTGGTCTGAAGCGATCTGTCCATCACAACCTACATGCTGCATGAGGAGATAGGAGACAAGGAGAGTGATGATCTTCACTCTGTATTAAACTCTGCTACAGAATCACATCATATGACATATATAAATATCGGACAGTAAATCCAAGCTTTTGTCTGATCAACGTGATCATTTAATAATCAATCATTAATGTCTCTGATAAACACACAGCACAGTGCAGTGTAACAGGGCTGTGACAGTTAATTCTGCTCCGTTACAGCGAACTGTGCTGCCCCTGGAGGCAGACGGCAGGAACTGCAGGGAAAGTGATGGTGAGGAGACCAGACACTGAACTCGAAGCTAAGCTAGGCTAGTTAGCTTTTAGCTCGACTAGTTTATCTGTGTTAATTTTTTCTCCAGATTTTGGAGAGTCAAAATTTATTTTTAATCACAGGTGAGAAAAAGTTGGTGAATTAGCTTTCGCTAAAGTTAGCTATAGAAAGTAGTCACTGCACTTTAGCTCCTCCAAATTTTACTTCCTGTTTAATATTCCTCTGTGTGGCGACGGTCAGAGCAGCCATTTTGTTTTCAGGTTGTCTGTCCGTCCGTCTCATTCTTGTGGACACAATATCTCAGTAACACCGTAATGGAACTTCTTCAAATTTGGCTCAAACATTCACTGTGACTAAAGGACAAACTGATTAAAATTTGGTGCCTAAGGTTAGAGTTCAAAGGTCAAGGTTATGGTGACCTCATAAAACATGATTTTGGCCTTGTGAACGCAATATCTCAAGAACTCATTAAGGGAATCCCTTCACATTTGGCACAAACATTCACTTGGACTCTAGGATTAATTGACTAGATGTGGGGTGTCAAAGGTCAAAGGTCAAGGTCAGTGTGACCTCAGAAAACATGGTTTTGTTCTTGTGAACACAATATCTTCTTCAAATTTGGTAAAAACATTCACTAAGACTCAAGGACAAACTGGGGGTCAAAGGTCAAGGTTAGTGTGACCTCAGAAAACAATTTTTTTGCCATTACTCAAGACTTAACTCAGACACAACATTTCACACAATGGTTAATATTTAATATTTTCTATGACTCTGGATGAACAGGATGTGACCTGGAAGGTTGGAGGAGGAGCTGATTCTAGTTTTCCTCAAAAATGACACAATTCTGTAAAAATAATTAAAAAGATAAAACAGACGTGAAAAGGTCGGATTCTACTAACCTGCGTTTGAGTTTTGATTTATAAACACAGTTACACTGGGTCAGTGTCAGTGTCAGTGTGATGCTAATCTGTAGCAGACCTAGTTTATCTACAGGCTACGCTGCACAGTTACAGTGGAAACAGTAAAAGACAATAGAAAAACACGAGAATCTGAAACACAATAAAGACCTCACACTCTCCTCGGACGCACACGCTGTAGTCGTCGCCATAGGAACATGGTGTCCCATCATGCACCATTCTGTTCATGGAAACCACTGCCGCTGTTTCCTTCGACTGACAGTACAGACGACATCGCTCATCAGCTGCAAGCACACGGAAACATGGCTCATGTATGTGACTGAGCTACTTAAGGTGGAAAATTTAAGGTGGAATTTTAAATGTTTTCAGACTTGAAAGAGTTAAAAGAGGAGAAGCCACAAGTTTCCCTCCAGAAACAGTCATGACTGATGACTTTAACATGTGCACACACACGCACACGCACACACGCACGCACGCACGCACGCACACACACACACACACACACAGACATAAATGAAATGTAGAGTGTGTGTGTTTGTGTGTGTATTTACGGTCAGGGTGTTGGTATGGCAACCAGTGATGTTTCCGTCCTTCATGTTCAAAAAATGGATTCCAGACTTTACACTGATCCTCCCTGAAAGACAGAGACACATGAACCTGCAGGAGAACACAGAGAGCACAGAGAACACAGGAGAACACAGTAGAACCATAGATTTACTGACCTGAAGTCAGTCAGTAGAACACAGTAGAACAGTAGAACATAGTACAACACAGTAGTACTGACCTGAAGTCAGTCAGTGGCGGACACTCCTCGTGGCTGCACAGCTGGAACTCGTAGCTGTTTCCGAAGCAGGTGCGCCCCCCGTTGGCTGGACTGGGAACAACAAGAGGTTAGCGTCTCGGATTGGTGCATCTGTTCTATGACATCATAGATGATTGACAGCTCACTCACGCTGGGTTGTCGCAGCGTCTGGTCCGAAACCTGACCCCGCCCCCACAGGTCCTGGAGCAGCTGCCATATGAACTCCACGATCCCCAGCCGCCATCTTGTCTCAGGAGGTCAGGGGTCAACTTCATGCAGAAACCTTTGAAGCAGTGCTTGAACGAGAGACAGTTACCATGGAGACACATGTTATGTCATCACAGAGCTGGAGTCGGGATGTGATTATCTTAGCTCAACATAAAGACTGGAGGCAGGGGGAACCTGCTAGGCTACGCTAAGAAACCAAACAATACGTCTCATCACATCATCAGTTATTAGCTGCTGCCATGGAAACAAAATGTGTCTTTGTTTTGTTGTTAGTCAACATTTTTATTTACTGGGTAAAATCCAGTGGAACCAGTTTAGTGCTGGTGGCGTATTGACTGACAAACTGAAGGTCTGAACCCGTGATATGTGACAAAACAAGGACATTTCAGACGTGTCCCTTTAACCTGACCTGGGTATATCCTCACCTTCCCTGGGCCGCACTTGGTCCCGTCAAGCGGCGGACCTTTCTTGGTCTTACAGAAGAACGGGTTGTTATAGTCGCTGCACCACAGCTGTTTACAGGGGTCAAGGGTAGTGTACTGCAGAAAAACACAAAGATCTTCAGAACGTGTCGAGAGAGACACAATGGTAAATCATGAAGATCAGACAGAAACAGACAAAAACAATGTTCAGGAGAAGAAGGTGTCACTAAAACCCAGAGTTTTAAATCTGAGCCAAAGAAACAACAATCAGAACAAAAGTGAAATAACCTGTTGAAGCTTTTCTGCACTTCAGAAAGTCATTTCATCATCATGTTGAAATGTTGGAAACTCCCTGAACAAAGAGTCACACTCAGATTAAAGGCTGCTGATAAATCTGATGTGTTCGTGTAAATCGTTTTCTGTGTGATGTCATCTCACAGTTAACATCCCGAACAGATGTGATGTTGGTCTCCGCCCTGAAAACACATCTGTATACGTCTTAACTGAAGAATTTAACTCCTGTCACATCAGACCCTGTGCAACATTTTAATCCTGGAAAAGCAGGAAAGTCTGTGTTAATGGTCTGTTAGCTGAAAAACATCCTCCTCCTTCCTCCCTCTGTAAATGTGGAATAAACAACACCACACTATTCCAGCCAATCAGCAACAGCGGGCGTTTGACTGCTACACCTAAAAACACCAGTTTGCTGAGTGGATTCATTTGGTTGGATGAATTAGAAGTGCTATGCTAGGAAGTTAGCTTCCTTGTTAGCTACAAACCTATGGTCCTCTCTTCAGTCACTGTAGTTTTGTAAAAACAATCTAAACCACTTACTCTTACCAGTTTTCACTCAGCTGTGTTTGTGTTTTCTATTATAAGGTTTGTTTTTCTTCCGCTGTGAGAAAGACGATCCACCTCCACACTGTGTCATTGCCTTGGCAACGAGCTCCCATGAATATGGGAGATGGAGCACTAAAGAGGGACGTATTTGTTTTACTGTTGAGTTCAAGCATCAACAGTCTTTGTCCAGAATCTCTTACTGCACCTTTAAGTCTTATTTTCTTAAAACAACTGAACTCAATTTTTCATATTTGGATTTCATGTCGGTGCGGTGTGAGTGTAGTTTTACGTTCCTCAGCATTTTTCAGTCAAATAAACTTTTGATCAAAAAATTGAATACATTTTTGAAGTGAGTTTAGGGGGAAATATTGAGACAAGTCGTTAAATCAACGGATCATTATGTGTTAAACACGGTAAAAACATTACATGAGAACAGACTTTAACAGACTTACTGCAGTACAGAGACTGTATCCTGGTCCAAAGTCGAAGCGACACTGTTGGTCCATTGAGTACTGAAACCCTGGCAACTGAGGCTGAGACGGCCAATCGTGGTTAAACGGGTCGTCACGGAGACAGTCGTACGAACTGCAGACAGAGAGACAGAGAGTAGTATCATGTGAAGTATCATGTGTAGTATCAGCAGTAGTATCATGTGCAGCATCAGCAGTAGTATCATGAGTACTATCAGCAGTAGTATCATGTGCAGTATCAGCAGTAGTATCATGAGAAGTATCATGTGCAGTATCAGCAGTAGTATCATGAGAAGTATCATGTGCAGTATCAGCAGTAGTATCATGAGAAGTATCATGTGCAGTATCAGCAGTAGTATCATGAGAAGTATCATGTGCAGTATCAGCAGTAGTATCATGAGAAGTATCATGTGCAGTATCAGCAGTAGTATCATGAGAAGTATCATGTGCAGTATCAGCAGTAGTATCATGAGAAGTATCATGTGCAGTATCAGCAGTAGTATCATGAGAAGTATCATGTGCAGTATCAGCAGTAGTATCATGAGAAGTATCATGTGCAGTATCAGCAGTAGTATCATGAGAAGTATCATGTGCAGTATCAGCAGTAGTATCATGAGAAGTATCATGTGCAGTATCAGCAGTAGTATCATGAGAAGTATCATGTGCAGTATCAGCAGTAGTATCATGAGAAGTATCATGTGCAGTATCAGCAGTAGTATCATGAGAAGTATCATGTGCAGTATCAGCAGTAGTATCATGAGAAGTATCATGTGCAGTATCAGCAGTAGTATCATGAGAAGTATCATGTGCAGTATCAGCAGTAGTATCATGAGAAGTATCATGTGCAGTATCAGCAGTAGTATCATGAGAAGTATCATGTGCAGTATCAGCAGTAGTATCATGAGAAGTATCATGTGCAGTATCAGCAGTAGTATCATGAGAAGTATCATGTGCAGTATCAGCAGTAGTATCATGAGAAGTATCATGTGCAGTATCAGCAGTAGTATCATGAGAAGTATCATGTGCAGTATCAGCAGTAGTATCATGAGAAGTATCATGTGCAGTATCAGCAGTAGTATCATGAGAAGTATCATGTGCAGTATCAGCAGTAGTATCATGAGAAGTATCATGTGCAGTATCAGCAGTAGTATCATGAGAAGTATCATGTGCAGTATCAGCAGTAGTATCATGAGAAGTATCATGTGCAGTATCAGCAGTAGTATCATGAGAAGTATCATGTGCAGTATCAGCAGTAGTATCATGAGAAGTATCATGTGCAGTATCAGCAGTAGTATCATGAGAAGTATCATGTGCAGTATCAGCAGTAGTATCATGAGAAGTATCATGTGCAGTATCAGCAGTAGTATCATGAGAAGTATCATGTGCAGTATCAGCAGTAGTATCATGAGAAGTATCATGTGCAGTATCAGCAGTAGTATCATGAGAAGTATCATGTGCAGTATCAGCAGTAGTATCATGAGAAGTATCATGTGCAGTATCAGCAGTAGTATCATGAGAAGTATCATGTGCAGTATCAGCAGTAGTATCATGAGAAGTATCATGTGCAGTATCAGCAGTAGTATCATGAGAAGTATCATGTGCAGTATCAGCAGTAGTATCATGAGAAGTATCATGTGCAGTATCAGCAGTAGTATCATGAGAAGTATCATGTGCAGTATCAGCAGTAGTATCATGAGAAGTATCATGTGCAGTATCAGCAGTAGTATCATGAGAAGTATCATGTGCAGTATCAGCAGTAGTATCATGAGAAGTATCATGTGCAGTATCAGCAGTAGTATCATGAGAAGTATCATGTGCAGTATCAGCAGTAGTATCATGAGAAGTATCATGTGCAGTATCAGCAGTAGTATCATGAGAAGTATCATGTGCAGTATCAGCAGTAGTATCATGAGAAGTATCATGTGCAGTATCAGCAGTAGTATCATGAGAAGTATCATGTGCAGTATCAGCAGTAGTATCATGAGAAGTATCATGTGCAGTATCAGCAGTAGTATCATGAGAAGTATCATGTGCAGTATCAGCAGTAGTATCATGAGAAGTATCATGTGCAGTATCAGCAGTAGTATCATGAGAAGTATCATGTGCAGTATCAGCAGTAGTATCATGAGTACTATCAGCAGTAGTATCATGTGCAGTACTCACTGCAGGTACTGGTGCAGCTCCCTCCAGCTGCACCTGGACCAGTGGTATCGATGGAAAGTGGCCTGAACCCGCGGAGACATGATGCTGCCCAACGGCACGTCGTCAGCACAGTTATTCGCCTCACCGTCATGCTCCATACCCAACCTGAAGACAGACAGGGAGAGAGACAGACAGACAGAGAGAGAGAGAGAGAGAGAGAGACAGAGAGAGAGACAGAGAGAGAGAGAGAGACAGACAGAGAGACAGACATACAGAGAGAGAGACAGAGAGAGAGACAGGTTATGAAGACAAACAGCAAATTCCTGTTTATCTTCATTACGTTGAAATGGTAATAAAAGTATTGAATCTTGGAAAATGTAAATACATTATAGTAAAGACAAACACCTGTTTCTAGTCCTGCCAATCAATGAAGTGTGTGTGTGTGTGTGTGTGTGTGTGTGTGTGTGTGTGTGTGTGTGTGTGTGTGTGTGTGTGTGTGTGTGTGT